GAATACACTAAATTAAGGATACACTAAACTAAGAATACACTAAACTAGGAACACACTAAACTAAGAATACACAAAACTAAGAATACACTAAACTAAGAATACACTAAACTAAGAATACACTAAACTAAGAATACACTAAACTAATAGTACACTAAACTAATAATACACAAAACTAATAATACACAAAACTAAGAATACACTAAATTAAGGATACACTAAACTAAGAATACACTAAACTAGGAACACACTAAACTAAGAATACACTAAACTAAGAATACACTAAACTAAGAATACACTATACAAGAACACACTAAGCACTAATAGTACAAAACAATGCACCAAACAGCAGCAGCACGAACATGAGTCTGTGTGAGCAGATGAGAATGAATGAACACAGCAAGATTAAATAAATCAGCAGCATAAGATCAGCATCATGGATAGTCAGCAGTACATATCAACATCCAAATGGCATGACAGTGATTTTTCACTGTGATTTTTCACAGTGATTTTTTTCACAGCGATAATCCTGACTAAGGATTCATGAGTCTAACAGCCTTAGGGTTGAAGCTGTTCCTCAGTCTAGTGGTTCTACACTTAATGCTCCTCAACCTTCTGCCTGAGGGAAACGTGGCAAGAAGTGTGTGTGCTGGGTGAGTGGGGTCCTTCATGATGCAGGTGGCTCTCTTCCTGCATCTAGAGGTGTCTGTGATGGTGGGGAGGCTGACTCCAGACTTCTGTGCAGCCTTCACCACTCCTGTTACAATTGAAAATAGCAGCTCTTTATGATAAACTACTAGCATTTGAAACTGACACCCTTACAGAGAATTCTTAAAGAGAAAACAATATGGAGACACACCTTTGCGATAATCTTGAGCATACACTATACTGTACATCTTTTAGTGTTAATTATGGTTAATTGCAAGAACAACAACCTGCAGAAACATAGTATCACTGAGAGAAACATTCAGCTGTGCATGCTCCCATGGCAAATGTTCACTTTTTGGTCCAACTGGCTTATCTTTTCATACGTTGACCATTTTGGCTCTATTACTTCCTTGTTTCACTGAACAAAGGCACAATGGCTAGTTTCGCTTCAAGCCATGTTGCCAGATAAGTTTGTTTAGCCCAAGCTTTAGCTTTTTGTTTGTGAGAGGGAAATAAATACCTGAAGAAAACAACACATCTCATAGTTTCCTTTGAGACAGAATATCTGAGTTAAGAGGAAAATTCTGGTCAAAGACAAAGGTTGTAATCCTTCGCAGTAGTACTACACTCAGTGTAGAGCAGACACATCGGCTAACCTTCATCAGTTTCAGTAAATCATATTTATTCATCCACTTTAGCTACTCTTGTTAAGCCTCTAAACACCCAGCAAGGCACAGGCCCTTTGTCATCAGCAGGAAGGAATGATGATTGGCTGCTGCTGCAACAGAGCGCCTCGGACTATAGATAATCAATACAACAGCATCACCTCTCTGAGGTAAACGTTTGTCATTTTAAATTCTTCAAATGTTTTCCTCACATTTATTTTCAGATTGAACATGGAGTTTTATTTTAAATAAACTCATTTGGGGCAGCCGTGACTGAGTGGTTAGAGCTGTCATCCTCCAATGGGAAATTTTGGGGTTCGATTCCACCAGCAGTCACATGTTCAAGTGTCCCTGGGCAAGACACTGAACCTCTCATTGCATTTGATGTGAGTCCCATCAGTGTATGAATGTGATAAAAGCACTGATTAGTCTCTACAGATTCAGATTCTATTGTAGAGCTCTAGTAGAGTGCTGTATGGATGTACGTGTGGAGGTAAATGAGGGCACAGGTTGTGTTGTAAAGAGCTTTGAGTAACATGATTAGATATAAAGGTGCTCTATATGTACAGTCCATTTATCATCAGCAGAATGAGTTAAGTTCTGTCATAAAGCATCTATTCAACAGAATCACTACTCTGACAAATATTTATTATTTCTGAGACCACCATCTGCTCCCAAAACAGGTCTCTCTTGAAAATGAGTTCCCGTGACTCAATGAGACTACCTGTATAAATAAAGGATGAATATATATGCATATTTTTTTAATTTGTCATTTCAGATTTTTTAAAGTATTTTCTCATGAATTAAAAAAAAAATAAATCCCGTCAGTTTCTATGATAGAGCTCTACAAGTAAGTAAGTAATTTGAGTTAATTTTTAATAATCTGTGAGAAGAACATTTCAAACTATCTAAAATTATAAAGTTTCCATCAGAGAGGTAATAATTGATTATTTTTGTGAACATAGATATTTCATACAATCGAGTCACCACTCAGACAAAAAAAGTGATTTCAGCTTTTTTTTGTTAATATTTTTCTTATAGATTACTTAAAAAAATGATTTCAGTTGCTTTAGATTTTGAAAATTTGTGAAATATTTATCTTTACTGAAGCAATGTGCAAGCCTTTAAATGACTTTGTTTAATTCTGAAACCCAGTTTAACAAATACTGTTTAGAGGCTCCAAAAATGCTGTTTTCATGTGTCTGCAAGGTCGACACAGTAAAAATAACAGTTTTATAAAATTCTCTTAAGTAGATGAAGCATTAGAGCTGCTTTCAGATGAGCCACCACAGAGGAAAAAAGCCACAATCAGATAATGGACAACATAAATTTTTTACTACAATGCATGTAAAAATGGTAAACTCCTCTATATTCAGCAAGAAAATAAATAATACATGTCAAATACAATTAATTTAGTTTATAGGAAGTAAAAGGAAACCCCAGGATTAAGGCAGTAACATGGGCAGGTGAGTCCATAAAGGTGTCAGTAACAGCTACGCAGAAACTGGAAGAGCTCAGGTGTTGGTTGTGTTCAATTTGATGAACCTGTTGAGAAAACAAAACACCTTCATGCACTGGACTGAATGGTACTGGTAATACTGTACTTTCAAAGTAGTTGGCAAATTAAACAGGTGAACTCACTCCCCCTCATCAATCTACTGATGCATTTAATGCAGAGGGATTCTTATTGCCCTAACACAAAACACTGAGAGCCCCCCCCACCACACACACACACACATATGAGCTCAGAAGATTAAGTTACAAACCCACCCTGTGAAATTTTCTTTCCCAAGTCTAGATACCAGCAGAAAGTCCCAGAAATAAACAAAGTCTCAGGACCTGCCTCCCATCAGCATCCCAGTCCGCTGAACGAGCCGATTCTGCCCAAACGGACCCCAAAGCAGCTCCTCAGCCCCCCCTTCTTGTAACGGCTCCACGATCGCTTTGATGTCCTCATGAAGTCCTTGAGACGAGGGAGAACGTTGTCTTTCACAGGCAGCACAAAGTTTCTGAGAATGGGGCTGGAACTGGTAAATGGGTGCAGGGCACTGAACTGGTCCAGGTTGAAGTGTTCCCTGCCCTCTGAGGAGAAGGGTGGGGTACTGAGGTCGCCGTCAAAAAGCTTCTTCAAGCTCTAAAACACAAATAAAACATGTTTCTCTTTTCATTTGACACCTAATTAGATACACAGAATATTGTTGGTCACAGTTTAAAAAACAAGTTTACTGAGGTTTCCAAGTCATTTGACCAATTTATGATTTTTTCATCATGTCAGTAAAATGTGTATAAGTACTGTTTTCGTTTATTGGTTAACTTACCTGTTGGCTTGAAAGGGGGTTGGCTCCTACAGAATGAACAAGCAGGAACAGACAACAAACTGAGAGATTTGGGTTCATTTTGTTTCAGAGTTTGGTTTCCCCTCTTCTCTGTTAGAAATGGTTGACTCACAGTCAGTGCTCCTGACCCTCTGTGGCTCCTCGGAGGACCAGGTGTTTCTTTTATACCCGACCTGATTCTGTCAGCAGGCCTGGGAAAATTAATGAGGTGTGACTAATGCACATGGAAGTGGAACTGAACCTAACTGTTCATGGTGTTCTGCCTCCTCTGGAGCTGCCACTGCACAACTGAATACATCACATCAACCACTACATTACAGCTAATTTGTGTTCTACAGACTGTCAACAACTCGACAATGGAGAGACAAGTATTTTACCCGTTTCTGTGGGGATATTTGTTTGTATCGTTATCTCATGAAGCATTGGGTATATTTAGTTGAAACTCTCAGCAATTAATTGTTGGATGTACATTTACAACAGATTAACTTTTTAAGTCCATCCATCCATTATTTTCTTCTTGTTCCAGAGTCAGTTCGCTGGACAGCCACTCGAGCAGGGAGGCCCAGACATCTCTTCCCACAGCCACCTCTTCCAGATCTTGGGAGGACTCCAAGGTGTTCCCAGGCCAGCCAAGAGTCATAGTCCTGGGTGTTCACCAGGGTCTCCTCCCAATAGGCCCTTTTCACATGACGTCACACAACTTCCGTTTGGCCTCAATGGAGTATCTTTACTTCCGGAAGATGGAGTTTACGCAGTCACTACTACATCTGCCACAAGATATATTATGACTTGCAGACAAATATTATTTGACAACATGTTCAAAACTGGACAAAGGCTACAGATTCTTCACTGAACGGTACCTGATTGACTGGAGGTACTTTTTTTTGTCTTTTCCATCAATTGATATGCTAGGTTAGCATTAGTAAATTTGGTAGCTAGCTTACGTAACCTTTCTGTTTTGCAAATAGAATGGTTTTAGGCTCTAATCTTGATTAACGATAGGTTCTTATATAAATAACAAGGGTTGCCACCCATCACCTAAAATACAAAGCCGTTTGTTATTTGGAAGTTAAATGTTGTTCCCTGGTGCTGTCTGAGCGTCCTGCTGTTTCGTTTGCCTAGAGACCGACACCACACACCTGCACCCTTTTTTTATGTCCACCTGCTACTCCACCACATCCTTAGAACTTAAACTCTTGCAAAGATACAAATGTGAGTAGGAAGATGCTCATCCCTGGCTGAACAGCACCAGCGAGTGTAGGAGTCCCAATGTCTGCAGCCTTCCTCCAAGATGGCCGTCAATTAACACCAGCTGACGGTCATCCACCTGATGAGGAACACCTCTACTTAAGGCTGCAGTCCTGTGTGACTCATCGCTGGAGCATTGAGCTTTATTGGTATTTATGCCTCCAGCCTAAACGTGTGAGTATACGATATACTCTTATCTTGTTCTTTATGCCCGCAGTACCCTGCCTGTCTGACTCCATCTTTGTTGCCTCGTCAACCACCTGCCTGCCAGACCTGTCGAGCCACTCATCTGCCAGACTCGTCGAGCGGATTCTGTTTGCCAGTCCTGTCGTCCTGTTTTCTCCAGCCAGACCTGCTTGTACATTCCGCCCTACCCTGGTTCCCGACGCCTACATCTGATCGCCGGAGGACTGCCATATATGTATATAAACCCCCTACACTATATATAATAAACACTGTTTCTTCCTTTCTAAGATCTGAGTCTGCTTCGTTCTGGTCTTGTACCAATCTGGGTTCCGCTAGTCATTACAGCGAGGATGAAAGGCACATGCACGGTGAGCTGTCAGATATCATGAAAGGAACTTTTCAGACAAATAAGAACAACCCAGGCGACTCAGGAGTCATAGTCAAATTTTTTCATCGCCCAATCATCCATCCATCCATTATCTTTTACCCATTTATTCCATTTTTTTTGGGGTCACGGGGGTCGCTGGTGCCCATGTCCAGCAATCACTGTGCGAGGGGCGGGGTACACCCTGGACAGGTCGCAAGTCCATCACAGGGCCACATAGAGACAAACGAGACAAACAACCATTCACTCTGTCACTCACACCTAGGGACAATTTAGAGTTACCAATCAGCCTAACATGCATGTTTTTGGTCTGTGGGAGGAAACCGGAGTACCCGGAGAAAACCCACGCATGCACGGAGAGAACATGCAAACTCCACCCAGAAAGGCCCCTGGACCGGGGTTTGAACCAGGAACCTGTTCGCTGAGAGGCAGCAGCTCTACCAGTTTCGCCCAATCATCTAAATGGTTATTTAAAGAACAAGTTATGCTAATAGATTAACAGTAAATACATAAAAATTGTCTATCTATCTATCTATCTATCTATCTATCTATCTATCTATCTATCTATCTATCTATCTATCTATCTATCTATCTATCTATCTATCTATAATTGCGCCACTCAAGATGGCTGCAAGTTGGAGTAGCTCTGTAATCCTGATGCATGCTCAATAATCCAGGTAGAAAAATCTAAAAAAGTTAAATCTGGTCCTCTGGACATTCAAAAAACCAAAACAAAGCAAAACAACAAAAAAAAAATGTAGAAACGTTTCGTCTCTCATCCGAGAGACTTCCTCAGTCTGAGGTGCTGTTTTCAGCTCAGTCTCTTAAATAGCACCTTCTCAGAGTGGATCAACCAGTTTGCTGCTGACAACCAAAACCAGCTGATCACATGCTCAAGAAGGACCATCAGCATAACAATGGATCATTAGCACACTGACGGCTGTTTACTGTTCACAGAGGGCTGAGTGATACTAGCAATCACAGCATTGTAAGAGGGGGACAGTTGAACCCGGAGGCCTCCACCCCTGTTTAACGATGGACAATTTATTTTCACAAAGATGGCCTCCTTTACTCCTCTCTCAAACCATCGTTCCTCTCTGTCCAGGATGTGAACATCTTCATCCCTGAAAGAGTGACCGCTGGCCTGGAGATGAGTGTAGACCGCAGAATCCTGGCCTGATGATGTTGATCTTCTGTGCTGGGCCATCCTTTTGGCCAGTGGCTGTATCTTGTATTTTGTCTTGCTATTTAACGGTCAATAATGATGTGCCACAAGGCTCAGTTTTAGGACCCACTCTTTTTACAATTTATATAAGTAATGTAGTTCAAAACATTCATGATGCCTCCTTGCATCTCTTTACCGACAATACAATTGTTTATTGTTGCGCTAACACAGTTGCCAAGGTTTTCCAGCTTCTACAGTCTGCATTTGTAATCATCCAGTTTTTTTTTAATCTATCTGGATGACTGAGTTTACAAATCTTTTTTTCTGAACCATTTTGGCCTTGGTGTCCTCAGGCTGTTTCTGTGAGTAGCAAGTTGGTCTCTGGCCTAAAAACTTATACATTTTTATATATGATGATTGATTGTTTTTGACATATGGGTCCTTTTGCACGTGTTAAAAGCCTGCTTCTGAGATTCCAACAGGAGGCGGGCTTGAAACACAGCAATGAAGACTACTTATGGGACACATCTGGTTGGCATGTCACAGACTGATGAAGTCTTCCAGATGGAAGATGAAACGTTTCTCCCTTAAAGAAACTGGTCCAGATGACATGATTGAACCTTTTTTTGTTATCTACCTGGATGATTGAGCCTACAAACCTTTCATCCAGTCAGACTTGTTCCATCTGAAACTGGTGCTAAATGCTGATAAAACCAAAAGGGACGTTGTTTCAAACAGAAAGTTGGTGCCAACAGTTCTTCCTCCTATCTCATCCATGCATGGTGTTCCTATAGAGTTTGTGGATTCTTATAAATACTTGGGGATTTTAATTGATGCACATCTCTCTTTTAAGTCACATGTTGAAAACTTGATAAATAAACTGATTTTGAAATTCGGACACCAGTGAATTAACAGGTTTGATTCTAGAAATTTAGTTTTAGTTAACAGAGATAATACTTTTTTTTTTTTAATTACTTTTTGGGTTTATATAAATGATTCCATAAAGAGTTGATCAGTTTCATGGAGCATTTTCTTTTCATGATTTATTTGTTTTCTATTATTTGTTATATGAATTATTTCAGTTACTTGTTCAAAAATACACAAGTTTTGAGCCTTTAAGTCCAAAGGTATTCTAATAAAGTAAGCTAAATTGAAGTTTTAAATGACGGAAAAACAAGTCATTTGATTTAAGGTTATAAAGGTGAAGAAAAGTCAAATAAGTTATTAATTTCTTTAGACTAAATGTAATGATGGTTTTAGGTTTTACAAATTAACTTAAACTGAGTTACATAAATTGAGCTTATCCTGAATGTTCACTTGTTGGTTAAATATTAAATGATAACACGAAATTAACAAATGACCTGCCGGATGACAAAACTAATAATGTCTCTTCATTACAGTACTGCAGTATAAATAATAGTATGGGTGTTAATGTTCTAACCTTTTTTTCCTTTTAAAAATGTGGCTAATTGTCATTATTATGTCTTGTGATGTTTTTGAGCAGAGATTTCTGTGTTGACGAATAATTTTTCATACTTAATGCATTTATTTCACTTTTTTCTTATAGAGATGCCTTTGACATTGATAATAATCATCATCATCATCACTTTTATTGTCCCCTTAGGGAAATTTTCCTTACAGCAAGGTGGCGAGAAAATTAAAACACAACACATAAACATTCACACCACGAAATTGACAAACAGTAAAAATAATCCATGTACAAATATCAATAAAACAGGCTGAGCAACAAAATCAAGCCCAATTATATTTAAAAAAATTATGAATAATGGCCTGGCTGATAACGAGTTTTCTCTTTCAATGATTACTTCATCATAACCCTTTGAATCAGGCACCAAATCAGTGTTGTAGCTTCAGCACTTTCAAAGCTTCTGACGTCATTGATCATGTGATTTAAGGCAAACAAATCAAGTGCTGACTCAAGAATTTCTGAAACACTGTGTTGTTTTTTATATAAGCTCCAGGACTTCAGCTTCAAATGACCCTTCACTACCACCTCTGCTACATCCACTGTCTGTACCTGAAACTCAAAACCAAATGATCAGCTCTGCCTGGTACTCACTGGCCTTTCTGCTCTTTCCAGTCTCAACTGTTGTTGTTACTTACCCACTCCAGGAATCCATCACCTCTTCCTCAGAACCTGGAAAGAAAATCAACATTGTAAGACACACCTGAACATTTAGTCAACCTCATGTATTCCTGCCCAGCCTGAATTAATTTTTTCATTGTTCAGAGAGATCCAAACCTCTACCCCAGTGGGCTACCTGTAAATAAACTGCTCTACTACTACTGTATGTGTTTATCCCAACCAGAAGCCCTGGATCAATGCAGATGTACATCGTAAAATCAGAAATTGATGTGCAGCCTTCAAGTCAGGCAATATGATGGCGTATAAGACAGCTCGGTATGAACTCCAAAAAGCCATTGACAGCAAAGAGAGCATACTGCAAAGCCTCCAGTATAGTCGGGCGTACATCAGTCCGCGGAGGTCTGTGTGTACCGGATAAGAGTCGAAGCGGACGTCCACAGGGCATGTCCGTGCAAAGCTCAATTTTTACGACTGCATATGTATACTTGGTGTTGCACAATAAACTGCCCGGCGATGGACTGTTTTGCATGCAACACCAATACATAAAATTGCCCTTCTTCATCCCTGAACTGGTTTAATGGCCTTTTCTTTAGTGTTTTTTTTCAAGAGTCAAGCGATCTCTTCCTCCTCCTCCGTTGACTGAAATTGTGAGAAATTAAAGAATTTGTCACAAGCAAGTTAAAATCAGGTCCAGCGTAGCTGCGGGAGGGTCTGGAGATTTCCTGGTGGGCTGGTCTGATGAGTGGGTTGCAGGACCAGTGCTCCCTGTTTTGTTTTGTTTTTTAGAACTTTTTATTAACAACATATAAACACAGAATACCGCTGCTGCTGGGCTGCCAGCTCTTTTTTTTTTTTTTTTTTTGCAACCTGTCAATCAATCCAGAAGGCGTGTCAGCGAACTCAATTTGTCCCGAAGGTAAACGCCCCTTGTTTGCAGAGCTGACTGTTGCCGCTCAGGGTGGACACTCGAGTATGAAGTCTGAACTCTCTGCGGACAGTGCGCATAGTTTCCACGTGGCTGACAGGACGTGCAAGTATACTGGAGCCTTAAGAAACTGGAAAGCTACTGCAGATAAAATAACACCAGAAGCACATGGAGAGTAAAAACAATCACAAACTACAGGAAGGGAACAGATGGGGTGTATTCAAAAACACCCTTGAACCGGGCAGTTTCAACAAGTTTTATGCCAGATTTGACCAGCACACTAAGGACATCCACCTTAAGGCCCCCTGCAACCCAGAGGAGACACACCCACATGTCCTCAAGGCTTTGAGGCAGGTGGACTCTCGTAAGGCTGTGGGGCCAGACGGTGTGGCTCCAAGGGTTGTAAAGGAGTGCGCAGAACAGCTGGCAGAGGTCTTTAAGACATCTCTTCAATTAGAAATAGTTCAGAGGAATTTTAAACACTCTGTGATTGTACCAGTCCCCCCAAAAAAACAAACGCAGTCTTAATGAACGACTTCCGACCTGTGGCTTTTACTTCTGTCGCCATGAAGTGTTTTGAAAAGCTTATGTATTAACTCTGTGGTCCCAGTTTCAGCAGACCCCCTGCAGTTTGCTTACTGCACAAATAGATCGGTGGATGATGCTGTAGCTCTGTCTTTACATCATATCCTGAAACATCTGGATAGTCCTAACACCTATGCATGGCTCCTGTTCCTGGAGTATAGCTCTGCCATCAATACAATCAGACATATGAAGCTCAGTGAAAAACTGGCAGATCTGGGAATACCATCTCCCACCAGAAACTGGATTTGGACTTCCTCTCAGAGAGACCACAGGTTATGAGGATGGGGAAGAAGATTTCTGCTGAGCTCATAGTCAGCACAGGGGTCCCACAGGGTTGCTGCCTCAGTCCTAAGTTCTTCACATTATTCACACAAGACTGCACTTCCACACAAGACAATAAAATGGTCATTAAGTATGCTGATGATATGACTATTCTTGGCCTAATTAAAAGGAGGGACGAATCATCATACAGGGACTTGGTGCAAAAAAATCTCCATTTACGGGGAGGAAAACGACCTGGTGCTCAATGCAGAAAAAGCTGAAGAGCTTATACTGGATTTTAGAAAACGGGCTCCCTCTTTAGAGCCACTCACCATTAAAGGGACCACTGTGGAGGGAACAGGTGGACATAAGTTTCTTGGTCTGTACATCTTAGACAATAGCTATGTTTACATGGACATAAGTAATGGGTTAAACGGCCATTCGGAATAAAAATGCATTATGTAAATGCCCCATTCGGACTATTTTTTGTTTATTCAGCGCGATCCGAAATAATTTGTAATCAGAACGAAATGGGTGCTATTGTTTACGCCGATTCATAACCCAAACGGTGCGCATGTAAACACTTAATCTGTTGATTTTTTTCTGATCGTGAAAAACTGACCTGACTGCGCATGTGCGACCTATGTCATTCCCGCCTGGCTAATACAAATAATGTTAGCATGTCAAGGAAGCAAAACTGGTCTGTGAGCGACACAACATTTCTACTAGAAACTTTGAAAGAGTTCAAAATGATCTGTATTACCTGTAGCTCAGTCAGGGAGTGCAGTAACATCTCCACCGTCATTAAAACCTGTTGCGGGTCCATTTTGGGCGCTCAGGTTTGTTTAAGTTCATCCTAGAAGTAAACCAGAAGTAGAACTTCTTCTGTGTTTTTTTTTTTAAGGAGAGTTTACCACTCTGCACATGTCAGTACTTCTGTTCAGAACAAAACCCGCTGCATGTAAACACTCGTCATGAACGGATTGTGCCCATGTAAACGATACATTTGAATTATTTAATCTGAAAACATTTCAATCCGATCAAATAATTTTGCGCATGTAAACATAGTTAATCTCAGCTGGAAGGAGAACACCACGACACTTGTGAAAAGAGCCCAGCAGAGACTTCACTTCATTAAAGTGCTGAAGAAAGCTGGACTTGGATATCAGCCTCTCATCCCTCTCATCCAAGCTTATAGGGGTTTTGTTGGAAGCATCCTCACAAACGGCATCACAGTATGGTACGGCAGCACCACCCTGGCTGAGAGGAAGGCATTGCAGCTTGTGATTGAAGCTTCAGAAAAGATCAGTGGCTTCAGCCTCCCCTCCATGGAAGAGATTTACACACAGCGCTGTCAGAGGAGAGCACAGTGGATTCTCAGAGACAGACGCCATCCTGCTCACTCTTTTCCAGTGGATGGATTCTGGTTGTAACTTGAGACATTGTAGTCCTGTGAGCATTAGTGCACACAGGACACAGGAGCTTTTTTCCAGCCACTGTTAGATTGGTGGCACAGGACATTAAAGAGGGCAGGAACTATTCAATGCTGCAACACAAAATGTGATAAATGTGCAGCATCTGAACTGCAATTAGACAATTTTAAATTTGTTTTAATTGTACATTGTTGCATATATTATATTTTTTTAATTTAAATCTTTTTATAAACTTTTACTATTCTTTAGTTGGAGAAACGCACAAGAATTTAAATGTGCTTATACTAATGTATCTGTGCAAAATACCAAGCCCTGAGAAGCTGTAAACTAACCAATATGACAGATTTCAGCTGGGTCTCACAAAGAGGGCAGCTTTGTGCTATAAGTCTTGTTCCCTTTAAAATATTAATTCTCTGATCTGATCTTTTCCAGCTTGCTGCACTTAGCCTCACTTTAAAGACAACAGAGATAACAGATTGTTATTTATCCATAAGTTGCCTCTGCAGCTGTATGTGTTGGTGTTTGTGCTGGTCCAGAAGACCAAATCATGATTGATGAAAATCTTTTCCCCAAGGAGAGCATGTCTCAGTGTATTGATGTCACGTCCAAGACAATGCCAGACATGGACATAGACACGATGGAGGAAACAGAATGATTATTATCTATTGTATTGATCACCAGGCACGCACACTTGCTCCCACCCACACACACATGCAAACACAGAGCAATGCAAGCTAAGCAGAGGTTAAGTGAATTATGCCTTGAGTGAGCAATGACTGAGGAAATGCATAAAAGGAGAGGATAAAACCAGACCTTGAAAGTGGTCAAAGATAATGGAACAGACATCTGCTTGAGAACAGATTCAGTTTCTTGAGCAGCAGATCAAAAACTGAAAATTAAGAAGGGAATGTTTCAGTATGTTTTATAATAATTTTGTTTTAAGAACACTGCGAAAGGTAAATAACTTCCAATATTATTACCGTAATACTCAGCTATGTTAGACTTTTGATTAGGTGACCAGATTTGTACTAAGAAAATGTAAATTTGTTTTTTGTGGCATTTTTCAAAATAAGTTTTTGAAAAACAGAACAAACATAAGACATATACTTTACATATGCACATGATGTGACATTTCCCCTTTTCAATATAACCTTAACATCAGCAATTACATTACATTAGCTCCTTCTGCAGTTTCAAAAAAACCAAACCAAATGGATTCACATAGCATATTATAAAAACAACAACTGGTGTTGGCAAAAGTGCTGCACACAAAAACAGTATATCAAAATTAAACAAAAATAGTTTAAATAAACAAAAATATGACAAGACACAAAATAAAATAAATAGGAAAAAAAAAGTCAACTTTTATGCAGTACTAAAAGCCAATGAGTACAAATGTGTTTTAAGAAGTGCCTAAAATACTATGAGAGTTGAACCCTGTTTAAGAAGTAGTGGGTTTCATTGACCTAATCATCTCTGTGGACCAGCCTGGATCTCAAGAAACTGTGAGCGAACTCCCGATCTCCTCGCCGCTGACTGAGAGTCTCTATCCAAGGCCTCACCGAACTCCTTCCACATCCAAGCTTTTGCCTCAGCAACAGCCAAGGCTGTGGACCGCTTGGCCCTCTGGTACTCCTTGTCTGCCTCCGGGGTCACACTGGTCAACAAGGCCCGACTGGACTCCTTCTTCAGCTTGACAGCCTCCCTAACCCTGGGTGTCCACCACTGAGTTCGTGGATGGCCACCGCAATAAACACCGACAACCTTGCGGCCACAGCTCAAGACAGTTACCTCAACAAGCGAGCCCCAGAACATGGCCCACTCGGACTATCCCACCTCAGCTGGAATGTGGTTAAAGCTCTCCCGGAGATGTGAGTTGAAGATCTGTCTGACAGGTTCTTCTTCCAGGCGTTCCCAGCAAATCCTCACTAGACGTTTGGGTCTATCAGGTCTGTCCGGCATCTTCTCCCGCCATCTGATCCAACTTACTACCAGGTGTTGATCAGTTGACTTGGGTGGGAGGAGTGGGGAACCGTGAGGATGGATGGCACCAAGGAAAACACAAGGACAGAACAAGAAATCGGCAGGGTGAAACGGGAATTATACAAAAACACCATCGAACCATCGAGCAGCGTGGAACCCTTAGGATGAGGTATGGAACCCTCGAGTGGTGTGAAATCCTCAAGGCAAAGTGTGGAACCCTCAAAATGAGGCGTGGAACCCTCAGGACAAGGCGTGGCACCCTCAAGATGAGACGTGGAACCCTCAAGCGGTGTAGAATGCTCAAGCAGTGTGGAACCCTCAGGACGAGTAGGACCCTCACACGAAGCAGGTAATGTAGGAGCTGCAGCAGGTGTAGAAACTATGGGGACTGCATTAGGCATGGAAGCCACCACAAGGACTGCTGCTAGCATTAGGCCCTCAGGAAACTGGTCATAGATGACACTCACTGGTAGATATGGAGGTGGGTTCTCATATTGTTTTTTAAGAAGCTTTCTCAATTCAAAGAACAGTGGGTGGGGGGTTCAAGTTATAAAGCTGAGGTAAGAGACATACATACATATGCAGATTGACCTATCACACCTCACAGTAGGAGTTTGTTAAGATCTCAACTTGTTCTCTGGCTCTGTGTCCACCTCCGATGTCCACCCAAGAAATTCATGGAAGCGAGGCACAGGAGAGGAGGGGAAACTGGGCTTGGATGCCAGACGGCTTGCCCAGAGCCGAAACCTTCTTCTTTCTTCTTCTTCAACGAGAAGAGGTGAAGGCAGCATTTCCACTGCCTGGCTACAGTGTCTTCATTTCTGTATGGGTTCAGTCCAGAATCCGCCTCACTGGATCACAAATTCCTCCGTCTATGCTCACTCATCTAGACAGGTGAGTGAAGCCTGGAAGAACCTGCCTGCTGGGTTCTTGTTTGGTCGGTGCATACAGTCAGGGTTTCTAGCAAGGACAGGACAGGACAGGTAGAACACAATCGTGCAGGCATGACTCGGAAGCCAGGTCGTAAAATCCAAAACACTTTAATAATATGAATAAATAAGCTGATGTGGCAGTCAAAACTTACAGAACAGGTCAGACTTAGGGAAACACAAGGAATAGGACGAGGTCACTGACAATCAATGACACACAGACTCAGACTTAAATACAGACATAATTAACGAGACAAGTGCCAACACCTGTGGAGCATCACATGTGTAGGGAGATAGGGATTGATGATAAGGAGACTAGGACAACAACACAACAGGGTACCATCCCCACAAGTTTTATGTCGAATTTGATAAGTTTTTAATAAAAAAAAAAAATTCTTTCAATTTTATTAAATTCTGTAAATGCCCCCCTCAACACAAACTAGACCAAAGCTGTTAAAATCAGCCTCAAAGTCTATATTATTATTCATATTTACATTTTCATTTTCAATATTACAAGTGTCATTATTCATATTGTGTCAACACTGATTATTATATCCATATATGCAAATAAATGTTACAGAACTAGTGGAACTCTCAAATCAATTGTGTGTGTGTTTAATATAATTATGGTCTTTACCAGAAGAAAAGAATTTGTATTTTGGGGCGACTTATTGAGACTCATGTTATAAATCAGAGATTTATAATTTTACCACATAAGAGGGTAGTGCCCCGAGGTTAAATAAGTTGCGAAACAGTAATAGTCCATCCATCCATTTTCTTCCACTTATCCGGTGTCTGGTCGCAGGGGGTAACAGCTTAAGTAGGGAGGCCCAGACTTCCCTCTCCCCAGCCACTTGGGCCAGCTCCTTCTGGAATCCCGAGGCGTTCCCAGGCCAGCCGAGAATAGTCCCTCCAGCGTGTCCTGGGTCTTCCTCTGGGTCTTCTCCCGGTGAGACGTGTCCGGAACACCTCACCAGGGAGGCGTCCAGGAGGCATCCTAACCAGACGCCTGAGCCACCTCAACTGGCTCCTCTCAATGTGGAGAAGCAGCGGCTCTACTCTGAGTCCCTCCCGGATGATCGAGCTTCTCACCCTATCTCTAAGGGAGAGTCCAGACACCCTGTGGAGAAAACTCATTTTGGCCGCTTGTATCCAAGATCTTGTTCTTTTGGTCACAACCCAAAGCTCATGACCATAGATGAGGGTAGGAACGTAGATCGATCGGTAAATTGAGAGCTTTGCCTTTTGACTCAGCTCTCTCTTCACCATGACAGACCTGTACAGCGCCCGCTTCATTGCAGATGCTGCACCTATCCGCCATCGATCTCACGCTCCATTTTTTCCCTCATTTGTGAACAAGAATAGAACAGTAATAGTTAACAAAGTAAACATTTTATGTCTAAAGTTTACTTCTATTGCTGTAGTGCTACATATAATACATGATGAGCTGTTTGTATCTTTTTTTAAGCCATCTTGGGCTTTTGGGGTTACTTTTTGATGGTTCTTTATGTTTATTGTTCAATTTATTCCCTTGTTAGTCATCAGGCTTGTTTTCTGTGTCTGTAATTTTTGTGTTTAGTTCTGTTCATTGTTCAGTCTTTAGGTTGTTCTCTGGGCCACCTCCTTCAGTCAGTAGTTTTTCAGTAAGCCTGCCACGCCCCTCTGCATCTGTTCCATGTTGCCTCAGTTACAGCTGCAGCCACTCCACTCATCAGTCCTTTCAGTCCCTCAGATCACCTCACACACCAGCTGAGCATTGTGTGTACTCAAGCCATGTCAGGTTCTCCTCCGTGTTCTCCATTTGTTCTCCTTGTGTTCTCCTCTGTGTTCTCCTCCATGGTCTCCCTCATGTTTCTCTTTATTAAATAAAGTAACTTATCAGCCTTCAAATCTGGTTCTATACCTACAAATCATGAGAACACACACACACATAGGGACACACACACGTGCACAGCTGCTGTCCTTGTGGCAGCAAGGGACAATAATAAAATTGTGAAGACTCATTCAA